TTCAAATTATCAAACATTTCCTCATCTCTTCCATATACTACTTACGTTGTAGTCTACAACTACAGTGGAGTTTCACCACCCTAGTGATATCAAAAACAATACTATATTTCACCACGACTGCATATCACCGCGAATATCGCGCGTTTTTCACCGAGTATTATCACGCCACTTCACGTAAAACGCGTGGTATAAAAACACTACTATATTTCACGACTACTGCATATCACTGTACATATCGCGTTTTTCACCGAGTACTATTACGCCACTTCACGTAAAACGCGTGGTATAAAAAAACTACTATATTTAACGACTACTGCATATCACTGCGAATATCGCGTTTTTCACCGAGTTTTATACCACTTCACGTAAAACGCGTAAAACTCCTTATTACAGGATCACTGCCAGACTTAGGCCTAGGGTACTCTTTATCATCATCCCAGATTGCATCCACCAAATTCTGTTCTTCCATCGCGATTTTCAAACCACTTTTCGTGTAATCCATATAACTTGCTATTGAGGTGACCGCTGGGTCGACACCGACAGTCACATCTTTTGCATTCTCTGAAAAAAGAAAAATTCAGTGTTGGAGTAGAAATATATGCTCGCCTTCCTCAGCTGAGCTCAGGAGTTTCCAAAGCTAGTTATAGAAATTTACATACGAATTCTGGCAGAAATATACAGAAATTATACAGAAATTTTCCAAAAATTTTCTCCCAGAATTTTCATATTTTTTCCCACACTGTTTGATTTCGGCAATTCAAAAACGCTCATTTACTTCACAGAAGAGAAACCATGTGTGGTGACAACAGCACTCCTAATTTTGCAAAAAAAATACCAAAATGATGTTCCTGATGTGATGACATTTACATGGGAAACTCATTCGCCCGTTTGACGTGAAGTGGTGTAATACTCCACGTATATTATAAGACGTATATGTTTCCGCGAACACCGATGATGCAATTGTTAAATGTGAAATATATTTTTCACCAGTGTTCTTCATATCACTAGAGTGAAACTCCACTAATTGTAGTGATATGCACTGATGCAAGATTCATAACGGAGTTTCACCACCCTAGTGATATGAAAAACACTAGTGAAAACATATCTCACGACTACTGCATATCGGGTTTTTCACCGAGTATTACGCCACTTCGCGTAAAACGGGTCGTGAAGCTCCATCGATATACAGTGATACGCGATATATTTTGGAGTTTCATCACCCTAGTGATATGAAAAACACTAGTGAAAAACATATTTCACGACTACTACAGGTCGCGAATATCGCGTTTTTCACCGAGTTTTACGACGCCACTTCACACAAACCGTGTAAAACTCCATAATAACACGATCGTATCGAAGCTCTCATGTTAGTACTACTAACATCGTAGATTCCATATGCTGTTCTTACTAAGCAGCCAGTCTTTTACTGTCGGAGTGTTAGGTTCGCGATCCTTCATCAGATACCACTCCTTGCCGAATTGATTTTGAGCTTGCAAAAAATATCTCCCATCGGTCCACAGAAGAGCGTGTGTTGGGGTAACAACACATGTTCCTGCAGAACCATCAAAACCAGAGAGGTATGCTACGCGTTCATCACAAGCAGCGATGTATCTGAAAATTCATACCACACTCTCAACAACTTTTTGAGATCAGGAGTTTTCTCACTATATCGTGAAAATTTACTTACGAATTTGCGTAAAATTTCTCAAAATTTCCCAAAATTTCCAAACGATCATTATGAGTCAACTTACTCCGACTGATGGGCGTCATCGTGGCGAACTATATAAGCACCGAATTGCTTCTCCTCCATCACTTTACGGAATTTGAGGAGTCTATCCGACAGAGTCTCGAGTGGTACCACGCGCGACATGTTTATAAGACGATTATATGACGCTACGGAAAAGGACCGTAAAAGCGTACGAGATAACATCAACTGTGAAGCAGATGGTAGTAAGCTTGTATATAATCGTGCGTGAAATATTCACATTCTCGTATTTATTCCGCAATTGTCAATAACATAGCGACTCGAATGGTACCATGCGCGACATGTGCGAGATAACATCAACTGTGAAACAGATGGTAGTGAACTGCATGTGTTGGTGATGACAATATGAATATTCTAAGAGGAAATTTTGGAAGAAATTTTCATCGGTTTTTGTACACTCCTGACTGTAATCGTGTGTGAACTCCTAAGCTCAGCTGAGGATGTCAGCGAACATATATTCCTACTTCAACGCTAGTGGAAAATACGATATTTTATGATATCTAAAATTACAGCGAGTCGCCCTGCATTTTCTGTTCCATAAAAGGTATTCCTCGCCAGTTCAAGATTGAGATCATCTCGAAATTTAACATTCTTTAGTTGAAATCTAATATCAATAAGAACTTGGGCTTAGCGGAGCGAAGCTACTTAATATTAATATCAAATTGTGACTATCCCGAAAAGTGTTCGATGATGTCCAAAAGTAGTGGAACGTAATCTGTACTCAATGGTGTTTTCCAAAGCTCAACAGTGTAGAGAAATATGCACATGGTCAACAACATATGTTGGTGATGACAATATGAAAATTGTGAGGGAATTTCGGGAATTGATTCCTATATATTTCTACATGCATTCGTAAGTATACTTAGTTTCAGGGAAACTCCTGAGCTCAGCTGAGGAAAGGGAGCATATATTTCTACCCTAGTGAGCAGTAGTGAAATATATGTTCGCCGCTTTCCTCAGCTATAGGGCTTTACGTACGAATTTTCAAGTAAAATGTCCACAAACGAACAAAGGATCCTGAAATTCCCACCGAATTTTCATATTCTCATCACCAACACATGTGGTTGATGACTGTGCATATTTTTCGTAACATTAAAATGCACGCACGCGCACGGTATATTGCAGAAAATGCTCGCGCCGTGGATCGAACCCGGAACCAAATCGAACTGTACTCCAATTGAGTATATATAGTTTTTCCTTAGTCTCATTCCCTTCAGCGTCTCCTCTACTGCGTTGAGCATTCTGAGACGCTTCTAATACAATATCACTTATGCGCGTCAACGCTCGGAAGAACTATGTGAGAAAATATTGTACACAAGTGTCTCCTGTAATTTTAGATTCTTGTGATACTTGTCTCCCTTGCTAGCCTAGAGTATACTTTATGATTACTGTATTGATCATCAGTTATGAACTACTTGTTAATAACTCTTGTTGAGTTATCTAATCCTAACAAACTAGATCTCGTTTCGAGATTGTATTATCTTGATCGAAATGTTGACAGTGTTAACTGTTAACGTTGTTACTTGTCAACTTGACACTATCCGTCTTGAAAAACGTTGATTACTAACACGAGTGCTTTTTACGATCACAATTCGCTATGTTCGGTTCATTGTCGTATAGTCAAAACTACTATCACTCAGTCCCAATACGAATATCCATGTTAGTTGTCATTTCATTAACTCGATTATTAAACTCCTGATATTCTAGCTATCACTGATAGGTAGAATATCAGGAGTTTAATAATAGGCTATCAGTCTACTCCCATAACACTGGTGAAGCAAAAGGCCCAGAACTCTGACGAGCAAATCAGCGAGGTTCTCAATTCGGACTCGCAGTTCCGCAAATCCGTGTGGGGATACGCACATGGTCAACTATGTGTTGGTGAAAATTTTGGGAGAGAATCTTGTTAGTTCCTGGGAACTTCTACCAGGATTAATGTATGAGCTCCTCGAATGAGTGAGTAGACTCCAAAGCTTAGCTGAGAAAAGCGAACATATACTTCAACACTGCCGCAATTAGCGGTAAAGAAAACGCAGAAAATTGTGATGGACACTCAGTATAATATGCAGCCGAGGAAACCCATGGGTTCTTAATCTAGAACTAACTCCTGCCAAGGCGTTTTCAGTCTCATCACGAGCCTACTCGGAATCGACACGCTTCGAGCGTGTCCTGATTTGCAATCGCGGGCTCGTCACGACGAGGAGTCTCCTCAGAGAAGACATGACGCCGACACATGTTACTTCCATTGGGTGTTTCCAACATAGCCTCCTCCAGGTTTACTGAATCCTTCAGCTCAACAGATCATGAATAACGAATCGTTACCAACGATCATGTATAAAGGAGTGCGAGCAGCATACTAGGGGCTCGAATAACGCCGCTCGGATTGTCAGGATCGATCGCCCCGAGCGATTTAATCGCCGCGATTCGCCCTTTCGAGCAACCACCATCTTCCAGTCTCCTCAGACGAGACGCAAACCTTTCCAAATCATTTCACTCAAGTGATAATACCACTTAGCTTCTGTTCGGGTGAACTGGAAATCCAGTCAGTTGTTTTAGTCATAAAAGTATGATGAATGTCAATTATGCGATTCGTGCTGCGACTTGTGCCCTCGTCCTGCATGGTGGACTCGCTACTGCACCCATCACACAAGAGGACATTAGTAACGTAAGCAAACTTGTCAGCTATCTCAATCCTTATGAGCTCACCCTGGAATCCATCGCGATGAAGTCTGGCTTATGGTTCAGGCTTTGAGCATAGCCCATCCGAGGCCTTCACTGGTGCCGGGCATACCACACGTCCCCGCAAATGGCGCAGTGAAGGTCAGCAACGGCGAGAAGAAAATTTCTGTAAGACTCTTGAAGCCGAGTTTATCTCAATTCGCGCCTCGGCTCGGTCAATGAATTCTCATTCAGAAAGGGACGGAAATTGCGGGACAACTTGGATCGTGGTTCACGGGTATCCCGCGCGACTTGACGGTAGGGAAGACCTTCTAGAGGGTGCTGCAAGTATGAGGCTAATGCAGGTTCAAGGGCCCGCTGACGAAGGCCCTGAAGGCCCGCGTGAAGATTACAAAGTATCGTCATCTGGACTCTATGCCATCTTTGGCATGGTACCTTCGAAATCAGCCGGAGAGAGAAAACCCCATGGTGTACTTGCCTTGTCTCAGCTCAGATGCTTAGCAAAAAATGAGTGAGGTTATCGGTTACATCGGGAGTTGTGTCAGAGCTAATGTACTGTTCAGGAATGGCGAGGTATTCCCCCACCTTGCCCGAAAGATCCTCCCCAGGCAAAACATAACGTAAGTGGCGGGGATTTTCTCATATGCCATTGGATACTCGTGCGGAGCGCCGCACTCCTATTGGGGAGATGCTGGGCCCGTTGGGTTTGCTCACGAGCTCGAGAAACGCGAGTCAAGAAGCGAGCCGATGGCACAGATCGACCGTTCAGGCACTTCCATTTAGCTTTCCCTTACTGGCAAGGAGAGGAAAAGTTGGGGAAATATCAAATAGAAGTCGGATCTCTGGACCACTCGCGTCTGAGACATCGGTCCAGGATATTCAAGCCAAAGAACATTATGAAGCTTGCACTAGAGAAGCTTTACTTCGGTCTAGCTGGCGCCGCGCTCAAGCGCAAACCCATCAGTCCACTTTACGGGGAGAGGAGCTTAAGTGACTTAGAGGAGCCCACAGCCGCACACTGGTTGATCACAGAGCTGTGTGCTGACTCCACGGTAAATGCTAGCAGGTGTTCATTCCGTCAATTTCAGTGCTTCTTACCTCAGCTTTACAATCTAGGCCAGAACGTGAAGGCTGCCTTACCCGAATCCGGAGAGAGCGATGACGGCGAGGAGTCTGAATGAAGTTCGAGAAGTGACTTTAGAATAATGAGGCATGTCATGGTTGTCGTTGTCGTTGTTGAAATGACGAGTAATGCAGTCTGCTGTGGTATGACTTGAGTCACACAAAGAATCATGGCCGCACACACCATCCGCAAGAGCATAGTTCATGTATCCTGCGAGGAATATGAAAATACTTCTAAGCTTCATCGTGCACTGGCCAAACCGGTGTGATCCCTCCACTGACAGCTAATAACTGTCGGCAAACGAAGAATGAGCGAAAATTGAATGGCTCGCGAGTAACAAGCATCGCTTACTGGAGCCTCGCCTCTAGATTCTAGTGATCCGACACGTTAGAGCGAGAATAAGGGCTTTCCATACTCACATCGAGCGTGGAACTTGAACTCCCAGTGGGAGTACTGCATGGTGAGAAAAGTTGTCTCAGTCTCCTGATAATACAGTCAGAGCGATACTTAAGAGGACGATAGCATCGCGTAATAACAGTCGTGAATATCATAGCATCAGTAAACAGTTGAGATGTTTTTCGTATGTTACCAATCGATGTGAGCCACTCGAGCTGAGTGACTCAACCAGATGCCTGAGTTCACTGTTGGTAAGGGTCTCCATTCGTTGTCTATCGGAGCTTTAACCACGCCGAAACCATCCCATCATTTACTACAAGAAGTGATGCTCTTAGGTAAGTAGTTCCTACTAGGTACATGCCACTGTCGGTCCGACAGTTGACTGATCGTATACGACGTGGTACGAACTTCACGAAGAGCAAGGTATATCCGCAAGTAGCCTCACCATACAGAGTTCACCAGACTGTCGTAGTCTCCCTGGAAGTCTCCCATAGTTCTGTTACTAAAATTTGCAGTTTTTTGTTTCAAGTTAAAACAAAAAACTGCAAATTTTAGTTCGGGTTTTAAGTTAAAACTTTTAATGCTAGGCTGTACACCTACGTAGGTCCTACACCCGCGTATGTGGAAGGTTATCTTATTGCCATTATTTTTGGCCAGTTCGACCGCGTCTTATAGACGCGGTCTGTCACAGGTTGCCCAGTGAGCAATTATTCGTCTCTTTCATCGCCGTTGTAACGAATGATGAAGTCGATGATCTGACGATACCTGCTACTATGGTCAAGGCTTGCTAACATAGTGCCATTTTATTATCACCAAATTATTTATACGTGACGGTAACATCTCACCCGGTCCCAGAGCCACTGAGCTCGTCAACAGCGTCATAGGTGTATGCAATCAGCTGCTGCTTGCACTCTAATAAGGCTGCGGTCGAGACAGCTGCAACACGTGCCGAGCTCGGAACTGCCGCTGGATGGACCCGAACCGACACTGCGAGGAAAACAGTTGTCGATTCTGGTGAGAGAAGATATTACGTAGTTTCACAAGGCTTGATCTCCTCCTGCAAAATAGCACACCACTTGAACGGGTTTGTCGCCAAATCCAAAATCAAATTCGATAATCCTGAAGCCCCCGATCGGGAGGGGCGGGAATGCCATTCCCGCGTTACCATTCCCGGAATGGTAACGCTATGCGCTGGTGGTGAACTGCATCCAGATAGTTGTAGGGGGCGGGTTTCGAGTGAAGCACTGCAAGCACAGTCACTGTGCTCGCAGCAGTGCCCGGTTCTAGCGACGCAGCTTGTGCGACAATATGGGACTAGCATTACTCCAGAATCGGATCCCCGAGGGGGTATGTCTCAACGACTTCTTGTCTCTGAGAGAAGCTCCAAAGGGGAGAGCAGAATTCTCTATGCATAACTTCTGGGCTCAAATATCAGTTAATGTAGAGCCAACTCCGCCTAGATTGATGTTAAGAGATACTCAGGTCTCGCCCTAGGCTCGCGTATGTGGTAAAATGCTTTTCGAAGATACTCGAGTATTCGTATGAAAACTTAGCGCGCCGAAAGTACTCCTAACTTAGGGCGCCTTTATGTGTTTACTCAAGTAGTGGAGCAACATGCTGGGATGACTTGAGGCTACTCAAGGTATACTTAAGGCGATACTTTAGTTCAAAGCGCATTACTCACTCTCGGCTACTTGAGCTATATTTAAGGCGTTACTTAAGTTTAAAACCCAATATCTACTCTCGGCTACTTGCGCTATATTTAAGGCGTTACTTAAGTTCAAAGCGCAATACTTAGTCTCGGCTACTTGAGCTATATTTAAGGCGTTACTTAAGTTCAAAGCGCAATACTTAGTCTCGGCTACTTGAGCTATATTTAAGGCGTTACTTAAGTTCAAAGCGCAATACTTAGTCTCGGCTACTTGAGCTATATTTAAGGCGTTACTCAAGTTTAAGGCACAATACTTATTCCTATGAAAGAGGCCCGTTAATGACATCACATGCGGCACACGCTCCGGAACGAACGCCACCTACGACAAAGTAAAATCCCACGAATACGGGTATGCGGGAGGAAAACCTAAACATGAAACCCGAACACGAGCCTTGTGACTCTGTGGCGAGTTAGTTTCGGTTTTCCATGTCATAGCGCCAGTAAGTTTTTAGCTGCTGTAGATCTACGCATTGAGATATTTCAAGATAGCAAGGCTGCAAGAGTCGCCGTTTTCTCATTCTCTACTAACTCTAGTCGGCAAAACTCGCAGGGAAATGACTTCCGTCGACACTGATACGTAAGCGAGGGTGGTCCTTAGCAGAGGAATGCCTCGTGCGTTTCGATTGAGTATACTTTCCGCTCTATTGGTGATCCCCTTAGGCCTGTCATACGCTGTACGTCGAAGCACTCTGCCAATTTCTATATCCGAGCCGTCCAGAACTTCCTCAATGGCATGCCGGTACACATCGACTGAACGCTATACACACTTAGTTACCACATTTCGCATATCAGCGTCATTTTGATCTCCATTGACGAATTGAATTTTGACCATTTTTTCAGCTCTTGGTCTTTAAGACCCGATATATTTCTTGAAAATAACCTTTTTCGTGTCTGCTACTACTATGAACAACATATATAGTATCGTCGACTGCTGTTTTGGGTGTATATCGTGGTTGCCTTAGTTTTCGTATCAGGCCAAGGGTGAGCTAAGCGCCAAGGCACCAGTAGATCACCTAGAAGTGACTGGTCTGGCGGCGGCTATCACTCATGCAGTGGCTGCTGCTACTGCAACAGAGTCAGCAGGGATTGGGAAGATAGTCAAAATTAGGACTGACATCGTTATGGTCAGACCTGACTACCCTGGGGGACAAGTTGGCGAGGAACATGGTAGATGGGGGATTCGAACTTGTGCCTGTTGAAGGGAAGGAGCTTCAACCAAGCATTACGCTCTATATATGATATATGATATATGATAGCCGATATATGATTAGACCCACTGTGGAGAATAATTTTGTTATTTTCGTTTTGTCTTGGAGCGTTTCAGTACACTCCGCATATTTCCACTTTCGCTTCGAATAGTCGATACATAGAATTGCCGTTGACAGAGATTAATGATCTTCCAGAGTGTTCTTGCGGTATCAGCCTTCGCGTTGCTAGCTAGGCTGTTCCGTACTCGCGCGAGACAGATTTTAGTTTGATTCTCGCTTCTAGTATGATTATCGTTGCTGTATGCCATTTTTGGAGGCATTTCACAGTGTGAACCACCAAACCGTTATGTAAAGTAGTATTTTCGATGACAAACTGAGCTCGAAAGTCAACTTTGATAACAACGTGAATCGATTGACACCAACGTTTTAGAAGCGTTACGTAGTCTATAGTCGTACTAGTCTCAAATTGAAGAACTCAGCCGTCTCGAAAATCTACATATGCATACATACTATCTGGTCCGCATTGTATGTACGAATTAAACGCTCTTGGATTTTTTCGCTCTTCATATTTGTCGTGGATTAGAGGCGTCTCGGATTTTCCGACGTGAAAATGCGTCATCAAGTATGTTTGCTCGTTCTCGTAGGCCGCGTTTATTTGGATCATTTTAGCCGAAATACGGTACGTATATGGTTTTCTTTAGGGGTGCCGAGTATTAGTATTATCATCGATCGCATAGTTGACAGTAAAGAAGGAATGAATAAGAGTGGAGCTGAGCAGGCCATCGAGAAGAGCGATTGACTCTCATGCTGGCGATCCAGGTTCGATCCTCGTGTAGGACTTTCTGAACAAGTTTTTTACTGTGCTCGGGCGCAGATGTCTACTTTTCTTACAAACCTTATATGACTTTGACCGAGCAGAACTCGTGTTGGGTTCCTGCGAACTCTGTGACCTGTCCTAGGTTCGAACCCGGGATCTCTAGAACTTGGGGTAATAATCGTCCATGTGAAGGGGTTGAGTCGTAGTGTTCAGCTCGGATATAACGCGCACATTCACTTTGGTACGTTTTTGTCGGAATATATCGCTCATAATCGTTCATGTATTCGTGTGTTGAGATGTTCCGACTGAATAGGAGTCGAACTTCTAGACAGAGTCACCAGGTTTTATCCACGACCAGCAGTAGCCGTAGTAGGAGCAGCGACAGAAGGAGTATAAGTGGATAGTGCGATGCGGAGTCACCGAGTATCAGAGGCGATGGGCAGCGACTGGTAGCGACCAGAGTGAAGTCAGGCTGAGGAGGGAGTGTCGTCGAGGCTTCGATCGCTGTCTAGAAAAGTAGTCGTAGCGTAGTTGGTTGTGAAGTACGGTGTTGTTGGTGATGATGAGCAAGGACCAGCTATAGGGGATGTTCGGGGACGGTAGTATTCATCTTCATCGTGATTGCAGGAATATGGAGGACGGCTTGGGTAGGGCGGGAATAGTATAGTAGGTTCAAACTGGGAGCAAATGCGACTTGGACCTATTTTGTATCTTTACCGCAGCGACCTTGGATACTTATGATTTTATGGTGGAAGTAGGCATTCTTATGAGTCTTGGAATAATCGTTATTTGTTTTGCTTGGGGGAGAGCAAACTCGAGATCGATGTTCAAATTTGTTCCACGGAGATTCTTTTCTATGAGCCTCTGTGCAGGTCGGTCCGTCGAAGTTTATAAACTTTCTCATCACTTCCGTATCTCGGCTGGTGTAGGAAAGTGTGCACATGGTCAACTACATGTGTTGGTGATAATATGAAAATTCTAGGAAATTTTGGGAAGTTCTTATTAGTTTCTGTACACTTCTACCCGAATTCGCATGTAAACTTCTATAGGGAACTATACTTCACATCACAGTGAATGTCGTGAGTTCTTGCCACAGTGTACGTCGGCGCATGTTCAGTGGTAGAAATCTCCATGAAAACTGAACGTGCTAGTGAGAAAAAAGTGTACGATACAAAGTTATCGTATGGTAAAAGGTTAATAAGTGTTAAGTAGGTATTGAGGGTGTAAAGCTGACTCAAGAGTCTTGAGCTTAGCTGAGGAGAGCGAACATATATTCTAATATTGATTTCAGCACTCCTCTGTCCCTGTTTTTATTTTTGCAATGGCGAGTAGCAGGAGCCGTAGTAGAAGCAGTAGCAGTCGGGGACGTCGATCAGAAGCCTCTAGGAGTCATTCGAGGTCTGAGTCCGACCCTGCCGAGCGAAGGAAATCGGATTTCAGAGATGGCAAATCAGCGGATCGAAACGATTCTCCTCAACGTAATCGATCCGTATCGAGATCAAGGAGTCGCCGTGATAACAACGATGGAAAGGTTCGTGCTAGATCGCAATCTAGCAGTGACGTAAGCGATGTTGACAGAACTAAACCTAAGGCGAGGAAAGAGGCCGGCGGTACTCGAATGGGCGATAGGGTCATTGAAAAGGCAGTGGAGGACGCTGTGAAGGAGCAACGTATTGTTGAAGTGGGAGATTTCCTGGAGGACTCTTTGACTATGCGATTGCTGAATTCAGTGTTGAATCGATCGGGCAGGAGGTTCCTAGAAGATGTGCTTTATGAGGCGGTTGACTCGATTAATAGGGATGTGAGATCGCGTGAGGAGGTGAGAATTCCTCAGAAGTATGTTGGCATTCGAGTGAAGAGGGTGGTCCAGAGGAAAGAGGACGATATGGCGTATAGACGCCGAGGAAGAGAGCGTGAGAATCGATCTCGGCGAAGGGATTCGAGATCGCTTTCCAGATCGAGAAGTCCCTATCATCGAATCTCGGTTTCTGACATGTGCGATAAATATAGGCTTGATGCGGAATGTGAGGACAGATTGAGGGAGCTGAGACAGGATCAGCTGTCTCGCGTATTCGGACCGGATCTCCTCATACGAAACGACTGCCGCAACCCTAGTTCGATCGTGATGAGTCGTATTCGTGACGAAGTCCGTGGGAGATCATGGAGAAGACCTAGAAGGTTTAGAGAACGTCGGCCTAGAAGCTATAGTCGTGATCGTTGGCACCCGAGTTCGAGCCGGTCGTCGTCGTCGTCTTCTTCGTCGAGGTCGTATAGCCGATCATCGCCGAGGAAGGAGTCCAAGTCACGTATGAGAGAAGGCAGCAGTAGTAGTAGGAGTAGAGACTAAAACGAGAGGTATCGAAGATCATAGTAGTTTTCTAGCGTAGGATCAGGATTGTTGTGTTCATAGTTGACCTCACTTTGAATTGGCACAAACATATACGCAGCGTTTTCCTGCTTAGGAAAAGCGTAGCTTCTCCGCGGTTGAAACCGTGCCAGAGAGTTGTCTTTCGGCGAAGCCTGGTTTGGGACAGCGATTGCCACAATCGCTGCCGGCACAAGGGACAACCGGAGTCCTTCAAGCTGCCAAGCTATTCACACAAGCCAGACTGTCTTGACAACCTGGAGTAGTATATGTGTTAAACGTGATATTTTTTTAACCGAGGTCTCCGATGTAGGTCCTAGGGTAACTCCAGGTAGCAAGCCTCCGTGGCTTACGACAGAAGCTTAATATCCCGAGTGTCCTTAGTGTACCTTGCGTGTCATCCTCCGCAGTGCCCAGGTGGCACACGTGAGTCTACACGCGCCCTGCCACAACTCGGAGGCTAGAGCTTTCATTTTAGGGAAATTGAGAGTTCCAGTATCTTCATGGTGAGTAATATGAAAGACCAAAACTTTTTCTTCGCTCTACCGAAGTCAGTTGGAGTCACACAGTATCCACTATCAGCAAGTATCTAAATCTTATTGAAGTTTGGGAAATCGTTCGAAGTCGTACGGTAGATGCCGAGGAACTTGCTGAGGAGCCTTGAGGACTCTTTCGAGTGCCTCATCACACAGGAGCTTATGGTTGGTCCTGTTCCTCTGATGGAGACTGAGTGGACTCACCAACGATCAACTACTCGCAGGATTTTCCGGAATAGCAACAATTTTCCCGTTGCCAATTTTCCCAGTGAAAATTTTTTGCCGACAGAAAAAAATTGTGCGGCGCCGAGTAAATTTTGTGCGGAAAAAAGGATGACAACCGAATTTCTTCATTTGTGGGCGATGGATGAGTTTTTCTTGTAAAACCGGCGCGACAACCATCCCGAAACAGAGTCCCTGATCAGAGCCGAGTTTACTGTATAACCTCAATTCTACTCGGCTGTGGCTTGTACTCACGTGCAAGAGAGGGTTTATACTCAAATCCTTGTGTTCAGCACAATGTGTTGTTACATGAACGGAACACACGGTATCTCACGAATTGTTCCTTACTGCTCATGAATTGTCTCCTTTTTCGAGCAACACCGCTGAGATGCTCCGCATTAACATATCTTCGCGATGTCAGTCATATGCCCAATCTCTGTAGTGATGCCGCGGGCGTGCCGTTGGCGTGAAGATAAACGTGTATCCGTTCGACTCTTCGGATTCCCATCAACAAACTCTTCAGGTTAAATCTTATTCGTGATGCCATCTGCTTACGGCTCCCTCTTGTTTGCCACTGTGATGGAAGCAGCCCTAGGAGTACTTGATGCCCCTCTGAAGATTACTGCTGACTATCCACCGGGTTGTTATGGAGGTCCTGGTCCAGGGGAGGGGAGCAACATTACCGATATGCTAGCGCCTTCCTGCATTTACAGCATGGAGAGCTACACAACCGATGGGAGTTATACAGAAGTTGCCGGGATCATACTCAACACTAACAGGCCTGGGCATTATGGCAGCATGTCAGTAAACTTCACTGTGTCCAGCCCGACTAGAACCAGAGAGCCCGATATCTTAGTGGTAACGGATGGTTGGGCTCACCTGAGTGTCGGTGATGAAACCAGAGACTTCTGGTGGAACCCAGCTCCAGGCAAGAACTCCTACGGTCCAGATCGTGTATTTGTGTTTTTCCGAGTTCCGACTATCGACTTTGGTACCCTCCCTCGTAACGTGAGCGTTTGGAGCTCGTGGGATAGTCTAATTGGTGGAGCGCAGAGCGACGGATTGGGCCTGAGAGTCAGTCACAAATGCTCCTCTAATGTGCCCTATTCTGAGTTTTACAGCTCACAACAAATCCTCATAAAAAGGGTGAGAGGTGGCTGGTACTACTTGGTTAAGTACGAATTTTTTGACTTTTCTCCTATGCTAGAAGATTACACCAAATATGTGATCCGCGGCAATCTACAGAACGTGAATATACTGTGAATCTACGCAGCATCATGATTCTATGCCTAGCCGGCGTGGCGACGTCGGTGAGCTCTGATGCTGGTGCCTCACGAACTGTACATATCTCTTGATTCAAGAGTCTTGAACAATGTGATGATTTCGGGTCATTCTCACTACCGTATCCATCTATTTACCATTTATTCATTTTCATTTTCCATTTTTTCATATCTTGGTCCAATATCGCGTTAATGTCGTGCGCAAGAGCCTGCTGTTCGTCGCTTATCGTTACGATAATATCGTATGCAAGTCTGTGCATTGATATGCGAGGTATCCAACGTTTTTCCACGAGCACACTCTTGCAAGCCTCGTTGTGGCTCGAGTAGCGATCAAGAGTGAAAGCTTTGGCTCATCACCTTGCCAATGACGAAATCGAGCGGCCGGTTGTGGGATGGGTCTAGACTCTAGAGCAATATGCTACGTTTTCTTTCCCTTGAATTCTGCGGATGTTGTTGCGTTTAGATATGAAGGCCACTTACTAGACCAACTCGGCTTCTCACGCTGCGACTCGGTCGGCCGGAGCTACTCCGACCGACCGAGAGTGCTCCAACGGATCATCTCATCGTGCACCTTTCTGTTTGAGGACTTCGAATCATTTCAAGACCCATCTTAATCCATCCTGGAAACCCTTGGGATCTCGTGAAACCATTGTGACCGTCACGTGAAACGTGGAGATTTGTATGTCTGTAGTCGTACCAATGCATGCTGCGGCAGTGTAACCCATCAGCGACAAATGCAACTCTTCCCTAGCGGGAATTCCCGGAAAGAAAGTATGATAAACCTTCTCGAGAATAATAACCACTATTCTTCCCCTAGTAGTACTGGGTAACCCAGGACAGTTCTGGCAGGACTGCACGGAGACTCACTGTCGGCGACTCATCGTCGGAGGCTATGACTTCGAAAGGAACGCCGCAGGGAAAATCCTTCCACCACGCTGCCGGCGGCAGCCTGCCGCCCAAAATATGGCTCACGAGTAGATCAAAAATGGCTCGTTTTTGGCATTTTTGATCGAGTTCAAGGTTAGATCATCTACCGAGCGTTCTTGTCATCCTGCGAGACATTCACGACATTATTACTAGCGGGGAGTGTCCACTCAGAAGAAATATCATTAATACCATCAGTGATGGACCATCACTCCGTTTGTGTATCAGCAACAAGGTCATCATTCACTATTGTTACCAAATACATTTCATGGAGAAACCTCGACCCCGACCATGCCCATTCCAGGTGTTGTTGAGTCAACTGAAATCTTATCAGCCCGCTTCGCGGAAGCGGGTCCCGGCTGGCGGTTCGGTCTGCCTCCTGCTGTGCTCACTCGAGCTCTGTGGTTGTAGAAAATGTGCGGCTTCCTCAACTGGGCGGGAACTGTCTAGACTATCCCCACGGTTGATGATCAAGTTCGTCACATCAATCGGCTCATGAGGTGCCTGTTTCCTCGGCACGTGACTACCGTGACCCGATTGCATATACCTAAGAGCTAACGAATTTGTTTTATCAGCGCGCGTACTTCACTTGATCAGATCAAGTTGATCTCCCCTCACTTGTTCGAGCATTCTATCAGTATTTCGCACTGTATCGGCATAGTAGAACTGCGCCATAGTGACCTCAAGTTATCGCGCTTGTGGGGAGGCAGGTAACTAGGGGAATATTAAAGAAGCCCCCGAAAGCTTTGACCACACGCTCCCGGCTGTCAACTATACTTGGGATTACTATTTCAGCTACCTTCTCAAATCTGGCGCGAATAGCTTTCAGCTCGGCGGGAGAGATATTTGCTGACACGCGGTTCTATTTGCCCAAGACCCTTGATAAAGCTACTTTCTTGAAGAGTGCCAGCAAATTCCTGAAAGATTATCCTGTTGACGGTTTTCAAGTGGGTTTACAGTTATCAACTGATCCCAGTGAATACCCACTTTTTAAGGAGCTCATTGAGGCAATCAAGGAGCTCAACGTACGGGCATGCTTGAAGTGAGTCAGCAAGTAACTCGGTGCATGGGAATCCATGAAACATGGGCCATGTTCTGGTCACTAGCTCCAACCGTTATTCCTGCATGCTAGGCTATCCATCTTACCAAGTGACTGGCAGAGAATGAATGGAATAGCAGAGATGGTCGATAGTGCCGTTATTATGTTGTGGCCAGTTTTTCAGAAGGAGGTAGAAGCCTTCAATACGGATCGTTTCGCCGAAGACCTGATCAAGAATGCCGTCAAAGCTGGCTTGAATCCCAATAAGCTCATCCTTGTTGTAAGTGTGTGCGACTTTCACAATCTTTAGTCCTTAGCTGCCGTGACTGTAGTACTGAGCAAATTACCGGGGACATCAGTGCTGTCTGCGATAGAGAGTTTTCCTCGAAGTCACCTTCTCCATTGGAGGCAGTGTTCGTGTTTACTGTTACAGACTCTGAGCTACTCGACTTAGGTTGTGTGGCGTAAAGTTCAGCGTTGTTTTTCAGGTACCGCTACTTGCTAGATCGAACTACGAGAGCTCAGACATAGGATACTCGAATGCGATCTGCGACCTCGGCGTGGATCCAAGAGAACACGCTGACGAGAATATCGCTACTGTGGACATAGGAATCGGTACTGGATCCTGGCAGTGAATGAGATCCTACCCATATACAGTCAGCCTAGCTCTGTTATCACGCTCAACGTGATCCTAATGCTCAACTTGGGCACTACTACTAGTACTACTGGCAGAACCCAACCTTCCCCCTGGCAAGGCTGGAATTGCCATATCCTGGCTCTGCTCCGAGCAGTATATTGATACTATCGCCAGGACGGTGACTGAAGATGATGCTCCGAGCCTGAATAGTCCAGTAGCGAAATCCAGAACTTGATCCCCGAAGGATTCAAGCATCGAATTCGCTGCGAGTCGAGCCTACTGTAAATGTTTTGCAGCTCTTGTTGGAAGGCCACGGGGTCACTAGGTGATTGTATTTTTAGGTCTAAATCATTTCTAGTGACGGTAGATTATACTAGTATTGCGGTTCGCACTATGCGAGGTTAACGGTTAGATAGTCTATTAGAATGGCAACTCGCTGGTAGTGAGTCGCTGTCTAAGTTAGTAACTTGAACTTCAAAAAGTGCGGGCCTCGCATTCTTCGCGCAATCGGAGGAAAATTTACTTAGGGAATTCCTTGGTCAGAAGCTACCCATTGGGTAGTACCCGATAGCTAGAAACCCAATAGCGGAAAGAAGAAAAGCACGGCGTCGAGCGAGTATCGACATTACCAATGCACCTCCCACATCTTGCATATTGTTGTGTAACACAACTTGTGTTTGAGTTCGCACAGAAGGAGAACCTTCTGTGCCCCTACTTGCCGTGTCGTATGCTGGAGGTCAGGTTGGAATGATTCTCTAAGGTCATGCTACCCTCGCAGGATAATAAACCACGATGTCTCGAACATCGAATCGATTAGTACGCCGCGTACTGTACGCGCATATCGCTGACAACACAACGTCCGGCAAATCTATCAACTGAGAAAGCTATTTCTTGAAAACTTCGGAGTCCATCCTTAGATCTTGAAGAATTCGACACACATCGGTTTATATCCGACACCTCGTTTATACGCGACTTGCTGACGTTCAGGAAATGCAACCGGTTTCAACCGTTGAAACCGTGCCAGGGAGTTGTCTTTTGGCGAAACCTGGTTTGGGACAGCGATTGACACAATCGCTGTGGGCACAAGGGGATAACCTGAGTCCTTCAAGCTGCCAAGCTATTCACACAAGCCAGACTGTCTTGACAACCTGGAGTAGTATATGTGTTAAGCGTGATATTTTTTTAACCGAGGTCTCCGATGTAGGTCCTAGGGTAACTCCAGGTAGCAAGCCTCCGTGGCTTACGACAGAAGCTTAATATCCTGAGTGTCCTTAGTGTACCTTGCGTGTCATCCTCCGCAGTGCCCAGGTGGCACACGTGAGTCTACACGCGCCTGCCACAACTCGGAGGCTAGAGCTTTCATTTTAGGGAAATTGAGAGTTCCAGTATCTTCATGGTGAGTAATATGAGAGACCAAAACTTTTTCTTCGCTCTACCGAAGTCAGTTGGAGTCACACAGTATCCACTATCAGAAAGTATCTAAATCTTGTTGAAGTTTGGGAAATCGTTCGAAGTCGTACGGTAGATGCCGAGGAACTTGCTGAGGAGCCTTGAGGACTCTTTCGAGTGCCTCATCACACAGGAGCTTATAGTTGGTCCTGTTCCTCTGATGGAGACTGAGTGGACTCACCAACGATCAACTATTTGCAGGATTTTCCGGAATAGCAACAATTTTCCCGTTGCCAATTTTCCCAGTGAAAATTTTTTGCCGACAGAAAAAAATTGTGCGGCGCCGAGTAAATTTTGTGCGGAAAAAAGGATGACAACCGAATTTCTTCATTTGTGGGCGATGGATGAGTTTTTCTTGTAAAACCGGCGCGACTACCATCCCGAAACAGAGTCCCTGATCAGAGCCGAGTTAACTGTATAACCTCAATTCTACTCGGCTGTGGCTTGTACTCACGTGCAAGAGAGGGTTTATACTCAAATCCTTGTGTTCAGCACAATGTGTTGTTACATGAACGGAACACACGGTATCTCACGAATTGTTCCTTACTGCTCATGAATTGTGTCCTTTTTCGAGCAACACCGCTGAGGTGCTCCGCATTAACATATCCTCGCTATGTCAGTCATATGCCCAATCTCTGTAGTGATAATGATGCCGCGGGCGTACCGTTGGCGT